ACCCTCCTGCACATCTGGCCTGTACCCCAGTTCTTGTATGCATGCATAAATAAATCTTAAAAAAATTAAATACCTAGGCGTAAACCTAATAAAGGACATAAATGAAAACTGTAAGACATACAAAGAAAACTCTAAAGCTTTATTAAGACAAGTAGAAAAATACGCCAACAATGGAAAGATATTCCTTGCTTGTGGGTTAGAAGAATATACATTTTCAAAATGTCCACTCAAATATATGCACAGGTTCAAAGTAATACCAATAAAAATTTCAATGGTATTCTAAAAGAAGTGGAAATTCATATGGAATCGCAAAAAACCCTGAATAGCCAAGGCAATCTTGACCAAAAAAAAGAAAAAAAGAAAAAGAATGGTGGAGTCACATTTCAGACTTCAAACTATACTATAAAGCCATAATGATTAAAAACAGTATAGTACTGCAACAACAACAACAAAGAGACACAGACCAATGCAACAGAATTAAGTATCTAGAAGTAAACTTAAAAAAGGAGGTAAAGGAAAACTGTAAGACATTAAAATAAGTAGATGACATAACACACACACACAAAAAGGAAAGAGAGTCCCCACTCATGTTTTGGAATAATTAGCATTCTTAAAATGGCAATCTTCCCCAAAGGAATATACAGATTCAATGCAATTCCCCTTAGGGACCCAAAGGCATTCTTCAAAGACATTGCGTAAACATCAGTGAAATTCATATGTAACCACAAAAGAAACTGACTAGAGAAGAAAACAAAACAAAAAATCCAGAGCGGTTGTATCATAACTCCAGACTTCAAACTATACTACAAAGCTACAGTAATAAAAACAGTATGGTACTAGAATAAAATCAGACCAACCAATAGACTAGATTTAAGAGGCAAGAAATAAGCCTGAATATCTATGGACAGTTAATATATGACAAAGGATGCAAGTGTATAAACTGTATAACTGAGAGTCTCTTCAGCAAATGGTGTTTGGAAAACTTGACAGACATATGCCAAAGAATGAAACTATATCAGCATCTCACACTTGTCACAAAATTAACTCAAAATGGACTAATTGCATGGAAGTAAGACCTGAAACCTTAAAACACACAGAAGAAAACAGACAAAATACTCCATGACATAAATATAAGCAACGTCTTTGTGGATTTTCTCTAACATCAAGATAAACAAAAATGAATATAAACATATTGGACTACATCAAACTAAAAAGCTACTGCACAGAAAAAGAAACTATCAGTAAAACAAAAACCCTATTGAGTGGGAAAATATTTGTGCATTATATATCTCACAAAGGACTAATATCTGAGATATATAAAGAACTCTTACAACTCAACAGAAAGAAAATAACTTAATCAACAATGGGCAGCAGAACTAAATATGTACTTCTCCAAAGAAGACATGGCCAATAAGTATATGAATAAATGCCCATCATCACTTAACATCAGGAAAATGTGAATAAAATCCACAATGAGATACCCCTCATATCTGGGAGAATGGCCCATATCAAAGGGAGCAGAAATAACAAGCGCTGGCAAGAGTGCAGAATAAAAGAAACCCTATCACACTGTTAGTGGGAATGCACATTGCTCCAGCCCTTAGGGAAAATAGTTTTCTCAAAAGACTAAAAATGGATCTGCCATACAACACAGTATTCCACTTCTACATATCTACCAGTAGAATACAAAAACACTGATTCAAAAGAAAATCTGCATTTCCATGTTTAATGCAGCACTATTTAAAACAGTTAAGCTGTAGAAACAACCTAAGAGCTCAAAAACAGGTGAGTGGATCAAGACAATGTGGTATATACACTGAATTGAGTACTACTCAGAAATCAAAAAAGATAAACGCTTGTGATTTGTGGCGACATGGATGAAGCTTACTTCATTATGCTAAATGAAGTAAGCCAGAAGGAGAAAGACAATTACTACATTGTGTTACTTACATGTGGAACATACAGAAACTAAACAAAGGGTCAGATAGAGTAAAAATTAAGAACTAACCCTTGAAAGCTGACCACAGAGCTGAGGGATCCAGAAGAGAGGAGACACGAAGGATGAAAACCAAGCAGGGAGAGAACACTATGGACTGTGGTGGTAGATTATGTAGTGCTTTCATAGTGGGTGCATTATAGTACCTGCATCTGAAGGGGAAGGTCTAAAACTTCCAAAATAGTAACAATGGTGTATACCAGTGGTACATCAATAAAAAAATTAAATAAAAAGCAAATAATCTGGAATAAAGAGTGGGTAGAGACTCTGAATAGTGGCCACAAGGTACATGGAAAGATGTTCACTATCACTAATTATTAGGAAAATGTGCATAAAAACTATAAGCTATAACCACCAACCATTAGAATGGCTATCATAAAACAGACAAGCAACAAGTGTTGGTGAGGATGTGGAGAAAATAACTCTTATACATTATTGGAGGGAATATTTTAAAAAGTGCAGCCATTATGATAAAATAGTATAAAGACTGCTCAGAAAGTTAAAGAGAATCACTATATTCACCAGCTATTCTACTTCTGGGTATTTATATAAAGAACAACTACAACAACAACAAAAACCCCCACTAATTTAAGAAGATATGTACACCCCTATGCTCACTGCAGAATTTACAATACCCTAGACATGGAAACAACCTAAGTGTCCTATGATGGATGAATGGTTACAGAAGATACGAAAAGACAAAATCTAGCCATTTCTGACATGGATTGACCTTGCTATTATACTTAGTGAAGTCAGATGGAGAAAACTACTGTAAGCTTTCACTCCTTTGTGGAATATAAAGCAACAAAGCAAATGAGTTAACAAAACAAAAAGAAACTTTTCGATACAGAAATTATATTGGTGGTAACCAGAATGGGAGAGGGTAAGGTGGAATGGTGAAAAGTGTAAATGGTGTCATTGAATGGAAATGGATGGACACTAGACTTTCAGTGGTATAGGGTAAATGAGGTAGGGTGTATAGCTTGAGTTATGCTACACACCTGAAATTTATATAATGTAAATCAACGTTACCTTAATAAAAATTTAATTAAAAAACGAACAGGTATGGAAAGAAGTTTCTAGGAATGAGGGCTGGCAAAACAGTCAGAGCTTGAGGGGAAGACAGGTAATAGCAAAAGAGGGACCACAAAGTCTGATTTCCTGATTGTGAGTCATGCAGGCTCCATGGAGGAGCCTTCAGGGAGAGTAGTGAGGGTTGGTAGTGAGAAATGAGAACTGATGGTTTGAGGATAAGAGTAGAAAAAGGATGGTGAGAGGAGATGAAGAATTACACTTCTAAAGTCGTAAACAGAAACAAACACTGTAGAACCCTTTCATCTAAAAATGGGGGAGGAATCTAAAGGAAAGATGCCTAAGAAAAACAGAAGGCTCGTTTCACCTACCTCATACTTTGGCTAAGGAAAGGGCCTAATCAAATGTATTTGGATCTGGGTTCTGTGTGTCCACTTGCCAATAGAAAGAGCCAAAGAGAAGTAAGGCTCTTCTTGAAGATGTGTGTTACTCCCCAAAGAATCTTTCAGGCAAAGAAAATAGCCTGAGAAATATTTGTTCATTAGATATAGTCTGGCAGCAGCCAGAAAAATCCAGAAAGTTCCAAATACATGCATATACACAAAATACACTTGATTCTTGAAATGCCTGTGATTTAACTGTTTTGTTATGAACTGTCATTACGATGAAATGCCTCTTTCTCCAGTAAATGTACTGCTAAAATTTCAATTATTTTACAGTTTGGGGTAAAAATTCTCACAAAATTGTCAACTGTGCAATCCAGTTTTACATCTGTTAGTAGGACAGATGATTTTTTTAGCACCCTCATGTTATTGCTATAAAGAAGGTAAGTATTCTCAAGAGCCTTGCTTGTTTCAAGTACATCCTGGCTGCTGATTCTTGTGAGCTATATGACCCTCTTCTGAAATGTGGTGCTGATATATTCCACATGTAACCCTTTACCCCTGGAAGAGAAATCTTCCTGCCGACTCTGATGGGCCTATAGAGATGTAAACCTAACAAGCTATGTCTTTTACAAACTGCTTATGTTTGTCTTTCACCTTCTCACAAGTGGAAAGGTTTCCTCCTTCTCTGCATGGAAATCCACTTCCCCACTGAGAAGTATGGGTCACCTAAGGCAGAGTGACTTAGAGTGAGAAAACTTATCTCCATTAAAGTTCTCACCACTTCCTGGCTTAATCCATTGTTCATAGCCTTACTCCCACTGTGGCTGTCAGAAGAGCAGATGGGTTCACTTAGGGCAGTACACTGTCCCAACCCAGCAGTCATGTTATGCTTTGGTTCCAAATGCACTGTGCGAATACCAAAAAACATATCATAAGAATTTAAATAGCAAGTAACATACTCAGACAGTGAGTGGGTCAAAGCCGTGCATTAGGACACTTAATCACTGTAAGAAACTAGATAGCAAATTCTTGCCATTTCCTTGCCCAGAACAAGTTTGACAACCCAGGTTGTCAAGGTTAGGTTTCCCACGAGGCTGAGACTCCAGGAGTGAAAACATGAAAAGAAACAAGATGCTGTCTATAATATGGGAGACTGCAGGGCTAGGTCAGCTGTGTTTAGCTCAGTAATGTTCAGAGAGGACAACTTGGTAAAATCTGCCAGCAGGGAAATGTTTCCTGAGCTCCAAATTATGGACACCGACACTGAAATTCTGACAGTTTTTATCCTCTGTATGGGGAAACATTCAGTGTTACACATACCTAATTTTGGCATCCTTCTAAATTGCCTGAGTCTAGCCCCATCTCTCTTATTTGAGCACTAGTAAATGTGTTTCTGTGTGAAAGGGAAACTGGGGTGCTGCTTTGCTCTTGAGTATTGTTATGTCATTCTGAGAGTGGCTTCTGAGTGCAACTGAGAGACCTGGTTTCAGATGCCAGTCAGAGCATCCTCGAGTTCATTAATAATGAACAAGTCTGACAGGAGTGTAGCTGCCTGTCTCTGTTTTCCACCACAGAGGAAGGAAGACATGGATCTCTCTGTTTTGCCAAACAACAACCATCCTGACAAATTTCTGCAGCTCGAGGTCAAGTCTTTAATGAGGAACTCTGTGCTTCTTCAAACAAGCCTGGCGAGGTTTCCGGGTGGGAATTACCCTGTGGCACAACACTGGCAAAACCTCGTCTACTCGCAGGTAAGGTCTGGGAGCACAGAAATGAGTGGAGGCTCGTTGCTTTCTCATGATCTGCCATGATTCTTTGTGCAAAAGGAAAGCTATGGGTATAGAGCACAAGGAAGCTACTCACTCTTGCTATCCAGAAAAGGTTGTCTCCACTAAAGAGACCTGCTCCGGATCTCTTCATTAAGTATGTGAATTCTCCAACTGTTCACTTCCTTTCAAGCATTAGCTTCCCACCCTGCCCTCATTTTAGATTTTGCCTACCCTTCACTTTAGTCCTTTCCTTCAGAATTTTTCTAACCAGTGGTAACATATGCAAATAAGGTTCTGGGGTTTCTATCTCTGTCTTTTGCTTAAGCATAGGCTAAGCGCAAGATATCAAAAGCTTACACTGAGGCCTCAGACACAGCCTGAGATATCCAGAGAACCTTGCTTCTGCCTCATTTAGATGCAGACAATAGAAGGACAATGGAAACCTGATGATTGAGGGAAATCTGAGACAGGGAACCCTCCACCTTGGAAAGGTGCTGGCTGTTATTTCAGATACTTTTACTTTGCACAGGTGTCTGTGTGGAGGAGACATACCAAACAGACTTTAAACACAACAGACTTTTTTTTACTCTCTTCTTTCGAATAAAACTGTAATGAGTTCCATGTGCTGTATCGCACCATGCATGAAGTAGGAATCATCTTTTTTTTTGAGAACTCATATAGTATGTTTATGATTTGTATGAGAATATTAATGCTGACAGTATAGGGAAAGAACAAATGGTATAGAATAGATACTTTACATACGGAGGGGTGTTTAGTGGCATGGTAGTTGTTAATCATGACTGAATATTCTCATTATTTGGTTTAGGCGGGAGTATCTAGGTGTCAGATTTTATTGGGAAGACTTGGGGAGGGGGAGGGGGGGGGGGGGGGAGGGGGGGGAGGGGGGGCATCTGAAGCACAGAGCATAGCAGAGCAGCAGGCACAGAAGAGAAGAGACCCTCTGCTGCACCACATGCGCTCCAGCTCCATGCCCCCTTCTGGGGTCTAACTCCCACACTCCTTGCGGGTAGCTCCCTGGCCGGGGCTTGAACTCAGGCCGCAGCGGTGAGAGCGCTGAGCCTAACCCCTAGGCCATCCTGGAGGCCCCGCCAGGGGCTTAGTTAAATGGAGCCTTTAACCTTTATTAGGAGGCTTTAGGAGAACTACTGACAGCTGCTTCTCCAGCAAGTCAGAAGAGACTACGGCTGCCCTGCCCTTCCCTCAGCGATCATCACTGTCTCCTCCTAGGGCCCCTGGGCGCTGAGGGAAGATGGCTTTCAGCGGCACGGCAAGTCCATGTCTTCATCCGTGACAAGAGGGGGCAAAGTATGGGGATTTTTCAAGTCTAAAACAAGTATTTTTCATTGATGAATCAGAAGAAAAACCTACACAGTTCAGAAAGTAATCAGGATTGTACTGATCCTGAAAGATTTCTTTGGTGATGATCGTGTGTGAAATCAATATTTAGAAGTTTCTAGAGATTTAAGTCTGCAGACTTCTGATGTCCTCATAGAATAATGAATGCTCTTAGCGAGCTGAAGAGACTCAAAAAAACAAAGTAAATAATCCAGTCACAAAATGGGCAGAAGAGATAAAAAGGAACTTCTCCAAAGAGGAAATGCAAATGGCCACCAGGCACATGAAAAAATGTTCAGCATCACCTGCAATCAGGGAAATGCAAATCAAAACTACCATCAGACACCATCTCACACCAGTGAGAATGGCACATGTTAAAAAAAACCAGCAACAACAAATGTTGGCGAGGGTGTGGAGAAAAAGGAACTCTCCTGCACTGCCGGTGGGAGCGCAAACTGGTCCAGCCACCATGGAGAGCTGCGTGGAGATTCCTCAACCCACCAAACATAGAGCTTCCATAGGATCCAGCAATTCCACTCCTAGGTATTAACCCTAAGGACACAGAAACATCAATTCTAAAGGGCACCTGCACCCCTGTTCACAGCAGCAATATTTTCAACAGCTAAGATAGGGAAACAACCCAAATGCCCCAAAATAGATGACTGGATCAAGAAGACGTGGTGCATATACACCATGGAATATTACTCAGCATTCAAAAAAGATAAACTCATGCCATTTGCAGCAACATGGATGGCGCTGGAAGGGATCATGCTCAGCGAAATAAGCCAGAAAAAAGACGAAAAACACTGGATGGTCTCACTCATAGCAGGAATTTAGAAACCAACAAAGCACCTTTAGTCCATGACCTTAGTCTATCCTTTGCACTTGTTTTCTTCACATTGTATAGAAGAAATGGATTAAGTAGAAGAAGCCATACATTTCTGGGCATTAAAGAATAGTTTGTGTGGTTGTTCAGAATCATCTTGGAAGGTGCAGTGATTTATCTCTCCATATCCTCCAGATATTTCTTAGCTCGTAAGTGTCTTCTAGTACCACCGTCTCTTCTCCCATCAGTATACATTCTGTTTGCCTTCCTTGCTCCTATAAGCTGCCCAAGGACATATGACATCCGTTATTAAAAATGCTACCTGCCAACATTCTAAGATCTTTCCAGGCCCTCCATGGATGGCAGTGGTTTCATATCACACTTAAAAAATCTCCTGAGGTTGTGACCAGAGATTCATCCATTGTCGCTGCTCTCACAGACCCGCGAGGGCTCTGGAGCGGCGCTGGCAGAGGCGCTGGGGTCCAGCACAGAGGACGGAGGCAGCTGCCCGGGGTCCGGGAGTCTCCTGGCCAGAGCCCACCACACTCTGCCCGAGCCCGGCCTCCCGGGACACAGCCCGCGCTCACCTCGGGACGCCCCAGCGCTCACGGAGGCCGGAATCATCTTTTTTTTAAGACATGAGGGCTAATGGGGTTAAGGGTTAGTCAATTTAGAAACAGGAAGAAGCATTTCATTTCAGAACAGATGTGACTGACCTACAAACCCTTGCAAGTCATTAAATCCTTTGGAGTGGTTCTAATTCCCTGAACAGAAATTTGTTTTCTTTTAAGAAACAGTTGCTACTCATGAATCCTGGTGTTAAGTGACTCCTTGATGGTGTGGTTGCAGTCTCCTAGGGACCTTTATCATGAGATCATTCAAAAATCAAGTACACTTGCGTGATTATGTAAGTGTTTCCTCCACCTATGCGGGTTTTAATTTATTTCCTTTGTAAAACAGCCTATGGAGGACAACTGACTTTTAAAATATTTTGCATCCTTCCCTTTTGTTACCTCAAAATCCCTCCACTCATCCAACACCTTTTTTTGTTGTTTCTCCTGTTTTGTTTAACTTTAAATGTAATGAAATTCCTCCGTTTTTATTATTTGTTTATATCATGGAATAAAATGAATCAAAAAATCAGTTCAGAAAACCTTGGCCCTCCTATGCTATGAATTTAGTCTAAGACAACATCCAATAAATTCCTTTGACGTTGGAACACAATGATCTAATATCTTTTGCTTGATACTGGAGCTGACCTATTTCCTGCTTGTGAATCTTCAGTTTCAAGCTCTGTTTAATGCTCTCCTTAAACCTAAGAGAGACACAGGTTTTTAAAAGGCATGGTTTTCACCAGGTCTTGATGATCTGAAATAGCAATTCCAGAAAAACTACGGAGGTAAAGACTGTCTTTGTTATCGAGTATGTTATTACTAATTAACTGTAAACGACAAATAACCTTGACTTATCCTTTTACCTTACAAAGAAATGCTAAATGACTGAATATAGGTCAATTTACTATTGAAACAACGCAGGATTGGGGGGAGTAAATCAACTGCAAATTCAGGTAGCTGGGTAGGCCTGGCAGAAATTATGAATAACAACAATGACATTCACTTACTTTAGATTGCAATATGTCAATAAGCAATTTTTTCTCTTCCTGATCTTAAAATGTGCAAGTGACATATTCATTGGATAGAAAATAAATTTAAATAGGAAATTTTCAGGATGAAATTTTAAATCTCAGACAACATTCACTGAGCCTTCATTGACCTAAACATCACATGATCCTTATCTCCCAGTTCCTCTCTATGAAACCAGGACCCTGGATTCTGGCACAAGCTGTTATCACAAGCCTGGTGTCTTTTATACAAGTCTAAGTTCCAGAGGTATTTAAGTATCCTCAGGGAGCACTATGGCAGGACAAGACTTGGATCTTAGTTCCTGCAGCACAACTGCAAGGTTAAATTTCTGACTCCGCTGATGATTTTGGGAACTGAATAGAAGTTCTGGTATTTGTTATGCTCCTCAGTCCACTTCTTAGACAATAATTTAAGTGTCTGAAAAGTCCTATACCATTTCCTCAAATATAAACCTAAAAGTGGGAGATTGTTATACATTCAGGACTGTTCTATTTCAAAATAGTAAATAGAGTGCTGGGAACAGAAACACTTTTAGAGAAGGCATGCATATGTGTTCAGCTAAGAAAAATACAGTGATAAAAAACAAAACAAGGGGCCTCCCTGGTGGCGCAAGGGTGTTAAACATGTCAGTGCTATGAAATTATCAGCAGCCACTGCAGCATGAATTTGATCCCTGGCTGCCCAGGGAGCTAACCCACATGGCGCAGCAGACCTCTCCTGTCTCGCCCACTGCTCCCCTCGGCAGTATATTTTGTTAGTCTGCCTGTTCTGTTCCCCGCTCAGTCTCCGGTGAATCCTCTCCCCCTCCCACACATCTGGCCTGTACTCCGGTTCTTGTATAAAAAAAAATATTAAAAAAAAAAAAAGATTTAAAGGGAAGAGATAGTCATACAACTTAAAAAAAAAAAAGTAAGGAAAGGTAACTAGGAAGTAAACGAAATAAATGACACTGTGTGTAAATGAAAGAAAGAGCAGCCTCTCACACTGGGCCTTTTGCTCCAGCTCACAGGTTTAGAAACAGACATGACAGAAGCAAGGAAAAGATCAAACAAAAAGATAAGCTGGAAGGGATCATGCTCAGCGAAATAAGCCAGAAAGAAAAAGCAAAATACCGGATGGTCTCACTCATAGCAGGAATCTAGAAAACTTAAATAAGG